AGCATACAACTTTCCTAGTTCTTTAATGCCAAAGCATGTACACAGGTACAGATAAGAGCTGGAAACACAGGGAATCCAGGACAGATAACCCCCTCAGGACCAATAGTGAGAGTAGCAAGATCAGGAAGGGAAGGAGAAGGTGGGGGGAGAAAGGGGGAACCAATCACAATGATCGACATATAACCCCCTCCCAGGGGGTCAGAAAAGTAGATGAAGGGAGACAGCAGTCGATGTAAGACATGAAAAAAAAATTAATAAATTATCAAGGGTTCATGAGGGAGGAAGGGGGAGGGGAGAAACGAGCTGATACCAAGGGCGCAAGTAAAAAGAAAATATTTTGAAAATGATGATGGCAATTTATGTACAAATGTGCTTGACGCAATGGATGGATGGATGGATGGATGGATTGTTATAAGAGCTGTAAGAGCCTCCAATAAAAGGATTTAAAAACAAAAACTTATGACCTCTTTTAAATTGATGTATTCAGGGGAGCAATGGAGAATCACGGTGGCAAGGACCAGGCAGTACTTATTTGTAGCAGCACATGGTCAGTTATTAAGGAGTGAAAACAATGCTCTCCACTCCTGTGGGTCTCGTATTTACTAGGTCCCTGGCTAGAGCAGACACTTTACACTGTACTGCCACCTGAAAGGTTGGCAGTTCAGGCAGGCAGACGTTCCAGGAGCCCTGGAAAACAGACCTGGTGTCCACTTCATATACTTTATAGCCACTGAAAACCCCTACAGAGCACAGTTATACTCTGAACTCAGGAGGTGGTCATGAATGAGGATTCTTTATAAAGACAAAGGGTCCATAGTCTGCTGAGCAATTTCTCAGCCATTCTTTCACAGGAGCTACATACGTTCGCATCAAACGGAGAAATGGAAACGCTGAGCAGTGAAGACGCCACTAACGATGAGGAATGAAATGGACGCTATAGCATTCTTGGTTCTTTCCCAAGTAGCATGGCGTTTCATGGCCCCAGACATCGATGACGACATTCTCCTTGGCTCTTTAAGGCATTAGGGAGCCAGGAGGACAGCGAAGGGCAGGGTCCTGCTCGTTCTCTTTGTCTACCCCAGGGCAGATGACTAGAGCTGGAACAGAAACGGGTGAGAGGAAGAGGCGGCTCCATTTAGCAGAGGCCCCCTAACTCACCAGGAGGACAGGGAGCTACAAAGAAGGTCCCACTCTCCATGAACCCTATGTTAGTTCCCAGGACCTTCTGTATCAAAATACCACAAGCTAGAAGGTTTTGAACATCAGAAATTTACTGTCTCATATTTCTGGAGATTAGTAGTCTAAGCTACTACCCTGGTGGTGTAGTGGTTACTGAAGGGCTGTGATCCACATGGCCAGAAGCTCCCCAACCACCAGCAGCTCCATGGGAGAAAGACTGGGCTTTCTACTCCGGTACACAGTCACCGTCTCAGAAACCCTCCGAGGGTCTCTAGGAGTCAGCGTGGACTGGGTGGCTGTGAGTTCTTGAGTAGTCTAAATTCACGGTGTGGGCCAAGCCATGTCCTCTCTAAAGAGTCCAGAGGCATGTCC